ACTGAACTAGAACTGAACTAGAACTGAACTAGAACTGAACTAGAACTGAACTAGAACTGAACTACGTAGGACCCTTAAAAAGTTTTAATTGGTTTTGAACATCGAACAGTCATAATTTCTAATTTATCTTTCCTTTAGTCGAAGTCACCGACAGATGGATATATGTACAGTATCCTAGAATCAAATAAAGATTTGGTAGATAGTCTTTATAATACAGATAAGAAATTAGTGGTCATTTTAGGCTGCTTATATATTAACTTTTATGTAAAAACTCTTATTTTGGTCAATAATTAGAACAGTTGGATCCCGAATATATCTGGGGTGATTAGAAAATTGATTTCTTCATGCAATTGTGTACACAGATTTTATACTATATAGGATCTAAAATTATATTGTGGAAACTATAAACTGAATGACGACTCTTATATAGGGTATATGTTTGTATATCAGAAAGGCGAGGGGTATAAAAATGGTATTTTCCTTGTGCATACATACTCCCATGTGAGTTGAACGTTACAATTAAAAGGTGTTTAATAAATCCTCTGAGGAAATATGATGTTAGAAATAAAATATTAATAATTTTAGACCAGTAATTAAATAATTATGTAATTTTATGGTTTATAAAAAAATAATTTTGTTAAAAATAATAAAAACATATATGGTATGTACATATATTTAATGTGTTTTTAAACAATTAATATGCAACATAATATTCTGTCCTGTTTGTTATTTTTATTATTATTATTTTTTTATGTTTAAATGTTTTGTAATTTTATTTCAATTGTTTATTTATTATTATTATTGTTGGTATTGCAAAAATTTACTATTCAAATTTAATTTAATTAATTATTTATATTTATTTGTTTTTTGCTTTTTAACGTTAATATTAATTATTCAATAAATGTATTTGTAGTAAATTCATTTGTTGTTTGTTACCTCCTGCATGTTTATTTGTTTTTTATAAATGTTGGGTTTTTTTGTTTAAAATTTATTTATTTTTTATGGTTGTAATTTTTTCAGTTTTTTGTTGTTTTTTTTTAGTTTGCATTTTTATTTGTTTTATTAATTATTTAATGTTAACAATGATTTGTTGTTTTGTATGCTGTTGTTGTTTCTATTGTTGTGTGGTATGATTTAAGTTTTTTTTTTGTTATTGTTTCTATGCGTTTTGTTGTATTAGTTAATGTTTGCAATTCAATTTTTTTTTTCGTTTTTTGCCTTGTTTTATGAAATTATTTTAAATTATTCATGCATTTACTTTAAATACACTTTTTTTTATCTATTGAGTATTTTTTGTTTTGTTTTATTCTGTTGTGGTTGTCGTTTTTTATTTTTTTAATAATTTACAGTACAATTGTGTTGAATGTTGCGCTATTCAGTGATTTTTGCTGTTATTTTTGTAGTATATTTTATTTTTTTATTATTATTTTTATTATTTCAACATTTATGCTGTGTGATATATGAGTATGACATATTTGTGTGTTTGTCTGTTTATATTTCTGTCTGCCTGTCTGTACAAACGTAAAGTACCCAGCAGTTTTACTTGCAGTTTATAGAAAGTCAGTTTAAGCCTATATTTCAATACTTCCTTTGTACTCTATTCTCAAAATTGTTTGCAGAAAGTTGTGTTGTTCAGAAAGGAAATCAGTTGTCCATTTAGTAACCTCTCTTAGAGTTAATGATATCTTTAGTATCCCTAAGGTATAGTAGAGTAACTATAGCCTCTATACGTTTTCTTACAAAATAGTGTTCGTTATTAGAATCAGTTGAAATCCTTCTAAAACAAAAAAAGCTAAAACAATTACATATTTTCGAAAGCTTAATCTGTTAACAATGTTAAGCCTAAATGTCTATGAAAAAAATCCTTAAATAAGGACACCTTCTATTGCAGGGTATGAGTGTGTTTATTTGTATGAATATGTTTGTATATATGTAATATGCTTGTGTGTATGTCTGAGTAAAAGTAATAGTGTATTATTGTTTATCATCAATAGTTTATGAATGTAGTATTGGTGTGCTGTTAATTATTTTTATTTTCATTATTTTTTTTATAAATTGACATTCTTTTTTTTTATATTGTTTAATTTTTTTTATGATTTGTTGTTTTTTTTTCATTGTAATTTTTTATTTTAACTTATCTACATTATTTAAATTAATACAAATGTTTTTTATTATTATTTTTATTATTTTAATTTTTATTTTTGTTCATTAACTTTAACAGAAAATAACTCTTGTAATAAGAGTATTTTATGTGGATGTGTGTATGTTTATGTGGTTATTAATTTAATTTTTGTATAAAATTTGTTGTTATTTTTTACAATATTTTTCTGATTTCATATTAATTTTTTTTGTTCTAAGTGCTTCTTGTTATTTTTTTATTAACTATTAAATACCTGTTTTATTATTGTTGACTTAAAAAGTTCACTTAATTATTTATGTTTATCATTTTACTCCAATTATTTCAATTAATTTAATTATCTTTTGTAGTTGCTTAGGCCTACTCATCCATTGGATTGAATAATTTTTATGCCTATTTTTTGATTTGTATTTACATTTTGAGGACCTGTTTTTTTTTTCGAAAAATCTTTTTTAAATTTGCTATTTATGTTGTCTTTGCACCTCCTTATAATGGAAGTCAAGTCTAGTTTTATGTTTTCATTTGGTTTGTATTTTTAACATATTTACAGTCTTTCTTTAAATAAAAAGTATTTTCATTTATATTAATTTAGTTAAGTGTCTATCTATGGTAGTGGAGAAAACTAAATATTTTTGTACATATTTACACATAAATATCTGGTTTCTTAAAATTATCATTAAACTATAATTATTCAGTTACATACATATGTATATGCACAAGTTTGTGGGCAAATTTGTAACTAAATTCTCATTTATTAAGTATATGCCTTTTTATGAATATTATTTTTTGTGAAAAATTTGCAGTTAGAAATTGTTAAAAACGTAAGGAATTTGTCTTGATCAACTCAACTGAAAACATCAATAATACCACAAGTTTACAAATTAATACTCTTTGTTTGCTCGTGGAATGAAACATATATGTTTGGTTAATTAACAATTTTTATTTTTTCCTATACATCCAATTTTAGAGATAAATTTATGTTATGAGTTATTAAGCATACTTCTTTAGTAGTGCTGGAAAAATATTTAAAATGAGAATTGTTTTTTGGTAATTGTACCTATTTTGGGAATTTAACAATCAACTCGGAAAACAATTTAATAACATAAAATTTAGGACTTTATTAACCCTATTTTGTACCACTTTTTTGTATTTTTCCGAAAAACTCTTGGAAGTACGAGTTCTGGACTTAGACCTTAGGCCTAAACAAAGAAATACATATAGGTTTTATATCATGAGCAAAATCGTTTTAAACGAGTGTACTTTACACCTGGTTTCGTTTAAGCATTAATTCCTCCCCAATGGTGAGGGTTAGAAGAAAGAACGATTTCTCTTTAATTTTGTTCGTCTTCATGCGATTTTTTGACGACAAATTTGTCATCAAAAGATACACATGTACATGTAAGTTGACAAAAAAGATTAATGAAACCAGCACAGAACTAGAACTGAACTAGAAATGAACTAGAACTGAACTAGAACTGAACCTAGAACTGAATAGAACTGACTAGAACTGAACTAGAACTGAACTAGAACTGAACTGAACTGAACCAGAACTGAAACTAGAACTGAACTATAACTGAACTAGAACTGAACTGAGCACTGAACTAGAACTGAACTAGAAATGAACTAGAACTGAACAGACTAGAACTGAACTAGAACTGAAGAACTGAACTAGAAATGAACTGAACTGAAACTGAACGAATGAAACTGAACTAGAACTGAACTAGAACTGAACTAGAACTGAACTAGAACTGAACTAGAACTGAACTAGAACTGAACTAGAACTGAACTAGAACTGAACTAGAACTGAACTAGAACTGAACTAGAACTGAACTAGAACTGAACTAGAACTGAACTAGAACTGAACTAGAACTGAACTAGAACTGAACTAGAACTGAACTAGAACTGAACTAGAACTGAACTAGAACTGAACTAGAACTGAACTAGAACTGAACTAGAACTGAACTAGAACTGAACTAGAACTGAACTAGAACTGAACTAGAACTGAACTAGAACTGAACTAGAACTGAACTAGAACTGAACTAGAAACGAACTAGAACTGAACTAGAACTGAACTAGAACTGAACTAGAACTGAACTAGAACTGAACTAGAACTGAACTAGAACTGAACTAGAACTGAACTAGAACTGAACTAGAACTGAACTAGAACTGAACTAGAACTGAACTAAACTGAACTAGAACTGAACTAGAACTGAACTAGAACTGAACTAGAACTGAACTAGAACTGAACTAGAACTGAACTAGAACTGAACTAGAACTGAACTAGAACTGAACTAGAACTGAACTAGAACTGAACTAGAACTGAACTAGAACTGAACTAGAACTGAACTAGAAACTGAACTAGAACTGCACTAGAACTGAACTAGAACTGAACTAGAACTGAACTAGAACGAACTAGAACTGAACTAGAACTGAACTAGAACTGAACTAGAACTGAACTAGAACTGAACTAGAATGAACTAGAACTGAACTAGAACTGAACTAGAACTGAAATAGAACTGAACTAGAACTGAACTAGAACTGAACTAGAACTGAACTAGAACTGAACTAGAACTGAACTAGAACTGAACTAGACTGAACTAGAACGAACTAGAACTGAACTAGAACTGAACTAGAACTGAACTAGAGCTGAACTAGAACTGAACTAGAACTTGAACTAGAACTGAAATAGAACTGAAATAGAACTGAACTAGAACTGAACTAGAACTGAACTAGAACTGAACTAGAACTGAACTAGAACTGAACTAGAACTGAACTAGAACTGAACTAGAACTGAACTAGAACTGAACTAGAGCTGAACTAGAACTGAACTAGAACTGAACTAGAACTGAACTAGAACTGAATTGAACTTAACTACGTTTTTTTAACAAAATCGGGTTCTTTAAAAATCATTTCTTCGAAAACTGTAACTATTTAGAAAAATATGAATGCGTACACAAATTGTATGTGAATTAATTGTTATTAAAAAAATGGAATAAGGTACTTGAAAATCTAGAGCAATATTTGTTTAATAAAATGTTAAAAGATTCATAAGAAAATAAGGAGACGTACATATATTATTGCAGATGAGCGAATTTGGAGTCAATATTTATTAAATCAATAAAGCATATTTTAGCTTCATGACTTTTAATAAATTTCTGTTATCTAAAAATTTATTTAATTTAAATTTCCTCAACTAGGTATAAATAAGTCTTCTTAAATTTTTTTATAGAAAATAAATTCAGTTGTTTTACACCATAAAATTGTTTTTTTCTCCTTCTAAATAAAGTCAATTTGAATAATGTGGAATTTAGTTCGATAACCTTAAGAATTAAATTTAAACTAAATATGCAGGCATTGATTTTTATTTCTAATCAATTTTTTTTTAATATCAATTCATAAAAACTATTTATATTCTAATTTTATTTTTTCTAAATATATACAAATTCATTAGTGTTTGTTTCTGTTGTATTTTTGTAACTAATATTTACAATATTTACTAAAATTTATTTAAATTCTATTATTTTTTTGGGGGTTTTCTTTCTTTGCAATTTAATTATTTATTGACTAACCTAAAGTAATTGTGGGGTGTGGATTTTTAGATTTTTTTAATGTGTTTGTGTGTTTCTTTTTTTAATTTTCAATTTATTTATGTTTTTATCAAAAATTCATAATATTGTGTTTGGTTTTTGCCAGTTATCAATTCGTTAAATTTGTTCTAATTATTTTTTTTTTGGGTTTTATTTAAAACTAAAATATCGACTACTTTGTATAAAATCACAATATATTTTTTGTTTTTTTTTTTAATTTTTTTCTGTTGACTTAATTAATTATTTTTATGGTTTTTATTTTGTTTTTGTTATCTTAATATGTATAACTAATTTAATTTAATTTTAGAATATAAAAAAGAATCTCTGATTTTGTGAATTTTGTTATTTTAATACAAAATAATAATGATTCAGTGATGTGAGAGGGATAAGTTAGGACAGTTAGTGTGATGGAGAGATAGATAGAGAGAGAGCGCGAGAGCAGTAGAGAGTTTCCAAAACATCACCGCTAAATCGGGCAGATCTATAAAAACACAGTGAGAAAACAACTTGTTTAAATCTACTCACAAAAGTGGTATTAGAACAAATGTTGGTTTCGCTGTGTCTAAGACATGTTTGAAATATATATTATTTGTCGCAGTGTAACTAGTTGAAATGTTACTTTTTTATTACGAGTGTATGAAATGTTGGATCACATTTTGTTTTTTAGTTTGTTTCAACTCAATGATACGCTTGTAGCTGATGGGCGTAACAGTGGGGTGAATGTTGCTGCGAAAGGCTTGTCGTTGGTGGCATAGCAGTGATGTTGTTGCTGTAGCTGTTATTCAAAGTCATTACTGGAGTGGTGTTGGTAGTGGTAGTAGAAGTTGTGGTGGTGGTAGTGATGTAGTTGGTAGTGATCATGCTATTAATGGTAGTGTTCGTAGGGATGGAGTTAATATTATACTATCAGTGCTTATATTCCGGATAACGTCCATTCTCCATGATTTGACCGGATTGACTGTTGTTGCTGCTGCTGGTGGTGGTGTCGCCTTGCATTTGAAGCTGCTGCTGTTGCTGCATTTGGTGTTGTTGCTGCTGCTGTTGATGGGATTGATGCTGATGTTGGTGTAGCTGATGCAATTGCAGCTGCTGTTGACTTGTATCGCCCTGAATAGTGTAACGTCGGTTGAGCGGCTGGATAACACTTCCACTGCTTTCCGTCTCCGTGGAGGGAGGTGAGGGGTAATAGTCCCTCTGATTTACAGCGATGCCATTTGGAACGGCCCCCATATTCATATGAGCATTGATTGTACCCGCCGCCGCTGCTGCCGCCGACACCGTTGAAGTTGATGTGGCTTGTGCCGAGGATGGATGATCGCCGTGGTGCTGGTGCGGATGCTGGTGGTGGATAACGGTATTCGTTGATGCCGCTCCCGACGTGTGTCCGCCCCCGCCGCTGGATTGTTGGGAATCCGATGTTGTACCGGGGAGCGGCTGTTCCATTACCACGACGGATACCACATCCTCACTCGCCCATCGGGCTAACTGTTGTTGAGCTTGAATAAAGTCATCACTAGAAAATAATAATCATAACAGGAACAACGGTACACGGAATAACAGAAACACAAAATCGAAACATACGTATGTCGAAATCAAAATATGTTTGTTTACACACCAAAGAAAACGAAAAACGGAAATGAAACGAAACGAAAAGATGAATGGAAACGTTAACGGAAATACAAAAACCAAAAGGATTCAGTTGAGAGAAAAACACCCAGAAATATTGAAAAGAAACCAAGAGAAAATCAAACATAAAACAGCACCGCAGCAGTCATAACGAGTGGGTGTTGCAAAAAAAATCAAAAAACGAACGAACAGAGGTATCGAAACGAATAAAACAAACAAAACGAAGAAGAGCGATCGATCGAAGAACAAACGAACGAATAAAATTAATGATATTTGATGCAAAGGCAACTTAAAGTTTAATTAAACTTAAATCGGATTGGGATAGGCGAAAAATGTTTTAGAAAAAATAAGAAAAAACAACGAAAATGAAGTTGTAAACTTCATTATTAATTTAACTACTTTAAAGAGGGGGTAACAGGGGGTCAGTGGAAAAACTACACTTATGAAGAAAATTATAAAACTTAAAAATGTTTCATCAAAAATGAATACAACAACTACTACAAGGGAAACTGATCTTATTTTTCGGTTTGTACTTTACACAAACTCTCTAACTAAAGTGAATTCATTGGCTATACATACCTCTCACTATCGGGAACTTCCCGTGGGTCAAGACGCGTATCTACCATTTGTCGATCATGATGATCGGCACTCTCATAGATGCCATCGTCGTCCTGATGCAAATGTGTATGCGATGAATGATGCGATGAGTGTGGACCGTGTGTTGCATGACCATGAGCATGCGAATGATGTGCATGATGGCCAAAAGCATGAGGTGAATGTGATTGATGTGATGGATGTCTACTGGTTGTAGTGGGATGTCTGTACCTTCCATAGGAGAAACGTGACTCTTCATCGGCACGCGGTCGACAACGACTGCTGTAAGACGGATGTATTGTTGCAGTTTTTTGCGATTGTGCTAATTGTTGATTTGATCTATTTTAGTATTATAAAATTTGTTTGTAGTATAAGGAAAAGTGTAAAAAAAAATGAAACAAAAAAGAAAATACAATTTTATTAGAAACAATTTGCTGGCAGGGTTTGTGTAGGAAGGATAGTTTGACAAAAAAAAAAAAAAAACAAAGTTTTGGAGCAATTTATACTTTTAGTTTAGGTGCCTATTTTTTGGAGCCAATTATTTATTAATATTATTTAAACTAAATAGCTTAGCGTCTTAGTTAAATGTTAGTGCCATAGGTAATTGTTTAATTTAATTTGTATTTGGAATTAAATTCATATTAAGTAATTAACTAAAATGTCCCATTAATTTTTTTTTATATAAAACGGGTTACTAAAGGTCATTTTTTTTTGTACAGAAAAGAATGTTTATTTGGCTTTGGGTTGAAAATGTTTTAATTTTTGTTTGTAAAATTCTTGGAAATCAATTGTCCAATTTACAGTCGGTTTTGTAGGGTTGTATGGAAGAATGTCGTAATTTTGTATTTTTGATTTGTTTATTTGAAAAAAAATAAAAAAAAATTATGACATACAACGCAACAACGATACGACATCGATTGTGAATTGGACAAATATGTATGTATAAAGATTGCGCTTAAGTTTTCAAAGCTTTTAGTTTGAAATCATATTTCATTTAAGTTTTCTAACAGCTAACGTAATATCAAGTATAAAGCTCTTATTCATGAGTGCTTTTCTAAAACTTTACCTTAGGTAGGAATAAGCAAAGAGATCTTTCAACAGCTTTTAACAATCTCTAAATGAGTTATTTAAACGTTTGATTTAAGCTTATGTTGAGATCATAAAATAAAAGCTTTCTTCAGACTTTTCCTTAAACAAGTTCAACCTATAGCCAAATAATTTTTTTTATGAAATCCAGAGTTTCCGTATATTTTTGAATGATTTTCAAAAACTTAATTCTCAAGGTTTATTTAAATAAATTTTTAATTAATTTTTTTTATGTATTTTCTTATAACGAAAACGATTTGAAATTAAATTTTCCTAATTGTTTGCTTTATTCTAAAAATCATTCAAAAATGTTTTTAATTTTTAAATATAAGAAAGATTATGCTAAATATTACCCGTTTTACTACATATTTTTCCATTTCATATAAATATTTAAATTTTAATAGTTTTTTGTGTGTTTTTTTTTACTTTTATTAGGATGGGGTTACCTTCATCACACTAGATATTCCACGCCATAATGATAGTCTGTAAAAAATTTTCAAAAAATTTGTTCATATTCAATTGTTGTTGTTTTAAATATGTATGGATTCTGAATTCTATCAATGTTAAGAGGGATATTTTAGCGTTTTAATATTTTTTTGTTTAATACTTTTTTTTTTGTTTTTGGTAAATTTTTAAATGTTTTAATTTTTTTTGTATGTTTTGTTCAAAAGCGGGTTGCACAACTTTTTAAAAATAAATGTATAATTTCTAATTGTTTAGATTCTTAAAACTCAATCCATGAATTCAATCAATTCCTAGTTTAATACCATTTAATTATTATTATTAATAACATTTGAAAGCGTTCTTATTAAGTTTTGTGTATTTTTTAGTATTATTAGTTTCTATGCCAAAAAAATAGACACCTACTATACAGCCCCAACACAATATTTAAGTAAATTATGATGCAGCAAGCACAATTATACTCATTATACGTATTTTTTAGATTTTTTTTTAATTTTTTTTTTATTTTACTAACCCTTGCGAGGATTCACTACAAGCAGCAGAACTATCTAATCTATAATGACGATCGCCTTCTGTTTCAGAAATTCGTATGTCCTCTGAGCCACTGGGACTCATGTGTCTCGACGAATGATGTTCGAGTTGTCTGATAAGATCCTCAAGATTACGTATGCGTAAGGGCCCGGTAGCGGGAGCATCCTCCTCATCGGGTGGCGGTTGCTGTTGCATCAGTGGCTGATGCAACTGATGCTGTGAGCGGTGATGATGCATAATGGGTCCACCGTGAGGACCACCCATGCTGGATGTTTCGACCAGCAGGGCGTGTGGTGGCCCCTGATCGCATATATTCTCTCGAGAACTAGTCTTCGAACCACTCGAACGTTTATAGGGTTCTGTTGTATAGCCTAGTTGAGCTGAAGCGCATTCCTGTAGGGTTTTGCGTAACATTTCCTCACTGAGACTGCCACTGCCAACGGGTGTGTTGCCAGTGCCAGTGCCGCGATGTGAGGCCGCATTGCGTAGAGCCTCCAAAATATCTTCATGATAACCGTTGAGGGATTTTAAAGTGCGTTCGACTTCCGATACTGCAGCACCGCTCGACGATGCCAAAGTACCGTCTTGTGTGATTAATTCTAAATTATCGGATTGACCATCATCATGTACACCATGTACAAGACCGTAACCGTGTTTCTTTAAAATACCTTTTTCTGTGAAGGAGAGTGGGAGAGGGGAAATGTTTTCAATGTATTTTTTCTATCTTTTTTTTTGAGTTTGATTTGAGTTTTTTTTTATTAGTGAATTTGTTGTTGTATTCTTATTATTGTTATTATTTTTGCATTATTAGTGTTAAAATAACAATCAGTTTTTATTTTTAGTTGTTTACTTTGTTGACGTTCAAATATATGAAGAAGTGAACATAAAGACGGAGCAATTAAAGTGATTAAAAACATGTAAAAATAACGTTTCTATATCAAAGTGCAAATATTTATGTAAAATGGTGCTAAAATAATAAAAATTTTTTCGTTCACAAACCAATTCCATACAAAGGAGGCCTAAAATTTACCTAATTTCTTTTAAATATCTTAGATATTATTTTATTAAAATTTAAATTTAAAATAGATTTTCGTTTTCAGAAACTCGGTGTTTTTTAGTTGTAAATTAAACTATTTAAGAATAAGTGAAAAGCTTTTTGAAATAATTGACAAAATCTATTTGCAAGTTTTTGAAAACTTGTAAAATTATATAAAATTTAAAAATGACAATAGCAAATTTATGAAAATCTCTCAATATTTTTGAAATATAAATGGAAACGATGTAAGAAAATGCTTCCTTTATCCGCTAATTATTTGTTACAAAAATAATTTTTGTTGAAAGCAATATTCAAAATTATGCGATATTTTTTGATTTTGCTTGAAAACAATGGCTGCTGATGTTGTTCATTTTTAATATTCTCAATCATTTTGATGTTATTTGTTGAAAAGGAAGGATTATTAGTTATAGTTTATTTTGCATGAAAATATCCTTTATTTTTAACTTCTGTAATAAATGTTATAGTTTCGCCATAATTGTTTATTTTCTAAAACACAATTCTAGTTCATTCCTTTTATGTAACAATTAACATTTACAACACATACCATAAATACTTATGTAACACATAAAAAAACTTCTAAATATTTATTATTATTTTGCATTTTTTATTAATAAGTTCATAAATGTATTGATGTATTGATACATAGTGTCTAGATTTAGGATGATGTACAGATACTAATAATGGAGCTATATATTTGTCTATAGTCTAGTCTATAGTCTATCTATAGTCTAGTCTATAGTCTAGTCTATAGTCTAGTCTATAGTCTATAGTCTAGTCTATAGTCTAGTCTATAGTCTAGTCTATAGTCTAGTCTATAGTCTAGTCTATAGTCTAGTCTATAGTCTAGTCTATAGTCTAGTCTATAGTCTAGTCTATAGTCTAGTCTATAGTCTAGTCTATAGTCTAGTCTAGTCTAGTCTATAGTCTAGTCTAGTCTAGTCTAGTCTATAGTCTAGTCTATAGTCTAGTCTATAGTCTAGTCTATAGTCTAGTCTATAGTCTAGTCTATAGTCTAGTCTATAGTCTAGTCTATAGTCTAGTCTATAGTCTAGTCTATAGTCTAGTCTATAGTCTAGTCTATAGTCTAGTCTATAGTCTAGTCTATAGTCTAGTCTATAGTCTAGTCTATAGTCTAGTCTATAGTCTAGTCTATAGTCTAGTCTATAGTCTAGTCTATAGTCTAGTCTATAGTCTAGTCTATAGTCTAGTCTATAGTCTAGTCTATAGTCTAGTCTATAGTCTAGTCTATAGTCTAGTCTATAGTCTAGTCTATAGTCTAGTCTATAGTCTAGTCTATAGTCTAGTCTATAGTCTAGTCTATAGTCTAGTCTATAGTCTAGTCTATAGTCTAGTCTATAGTCTAGTCTATAGTCTAGTCTATAGTCTAGTCTATAGTCTAGTCTATAGTCTAGTCTATAGTCTAGTCTATAGTCTAGTCTATAGTCTAGTCTATAGTCTAGTCTATAGTCTAGTCTATAGTCTAGTCTATAGTCTAGTATAGTCTAGTCTATAGTCTAGGTCTATAGTCTAGTCTATAGTCTAGTCTATAGTCTAGTCTATAGTCTAGTCTATAGTCTAGTCTATAGTCTAGTCTATAGTCTAGTCTATAGTCTAGTCTATAGTCTAGTCTATAGTCTAGTCTATAGTCTAGTCTATAGTCTAGTCTATAGTCTAGTCTATAGTCTAGTCTATAGTCTAGTCTCATAGTCTAGTCTATAGTCTAGTCTATAGTTAGTCTAGCTAGTCTATAGTCTAGTCTATAGTCTAGTCCTATAGTCTAGTCTATAGTCTAGTCTTATAGTCTAGTCTATAGTCTAGTCTATAGTCTAGTCTATAGTCTAGTCTATAGTCTAGTTATAGTCTAGTCTATAGTCTAGTCTATAGTCTAGTCTATAGTCTAGTCTATAGTCTAGTCTATAGTCTAGTCTATAGTCTAGTCTATAGTCTAGTCTATAGTCTAGTCTATAGTCTAGTCTATAGTCTAGGCTATAGTCTAGTCTATAGTCTAGTCTATAGTCTAGTCTATAGTCTAGTCTATAGTCTAGTCTATAGTCTAGTCTATAGTCTAGTCTATAGTCTAGTCTATAGTCTAGTCTATAGTCTAGTCTATAGTCTAGTCTATAGTCTAGCTCTCTAGTCTAGTCTATAGTCTAGTCTATAGGGTCTAGTCTATAGTCTAGTATAGTCTAGTCTAATAGTCTAGTCTATCGTCTAGTCTATAGTCTAGTCTATAGTCTAGTCTAGAGTCTAGTCTATAGGTCTAGTCTATAGTCTAGTCTATAGTCTAGTCTATAGTCTAGTCTATAGTCTAGTCTATAGTCTAGGTCTATAGTCTAGTCTATAGTCTAGTCTATAGTCTAGTCTATAGTCTAGTCTAAGGTCTAGTCTATAGTCTAGTCTATAGTCTAGTCTATTAGTCTAGTCTATAGTCTAGTCTATAGTCTAGTCTATAGTCTAGTCTATAGTCTAGTCTAGTCTAGTCTATAGTCTAGTCTATAGTCTAGTCTATAGTCTAGTCTATAGTCTAGTCTATAGTCTAGTCTATAGTCTAGTCTATAGTCTAGTCTATAGTCTAGTCTATAGTCTAGTCTATAGTGTAGTCTATAGTCTAGTCTATAGTCTAGTCTATAGTCTAGTCTATAGTCTAGTCTATAGTCTAGTCTATAGTCTAGTCTATAGTCTAGTCTATAGTCTAGTCTATAGTCTAGTCTATAGTCTAGTCTATAGTCTAGTCTATAGTCTAGTCTATAGTCTAGTCTATAGTCTAGTCTATAGTCTAGTCTATAGTCTAGTCTATAGTCTAGTCTATAGTCTAGTCTATAGTCTAGTCTATAGTCTAGTCTATAGTCTAGTCTATAGTCTAGTCTATAGTCTAGTCTATAGTCTAGTCTATAGTCTAGTCTATAGTCTAGTCTATAGTCTAGTCTATAGTCTAGTCTATAGTCTAGTCTATAGTCTAGTCTATAGTCTAGTCTATAGTCTAGTCTATAGTCTAGTCTATAGTCTAGTCTATATTCTAGTCTATAGTCTAGTCTATAGTCTAGTCAATAGTCTAGTTTAGAGTCTAGTCTATAGTCTAGAGTATAGTCTATTCTTTAGTCTTTAGTCTAGTTTTTAGTCTTTAGTCTAGTCTATAGTCTAGTCTATAGTCTTGTCTATAGTCTAGGCTATAGTCTAGTCTATAGTCTAGTCCATAGTCTATTCTATAGTCTAGTCTATAGTCTATTCAATAGTCTAGGCTATAATCTAGTCTATAGTATAGTCTATAGCCAGTCTGTAGTCTAATCTTTAGTCTAGTCTTTATTCTGTAAGTAGAGCTGTCTATAGACTAGTTTGTAGTGTAGTGTATAGCTTCGTCTATAGTTTAGTCATGATTCTGTAAGTAGTGCTGTCTATAGACTAGTTTGTAGTCTAGTGTATAGCTTCGTCTATAGCTTAGTATATATTTTATTCTACAGTCTAGTATATAGTGTTGTTGTAGCAGCGACGCGTGTAAAGTCGTTGTGGCTGGGTTGACAATCCTTGGTCGTTGTTCGTTGAAGAACGAGTCGTTCCTGTGCGAAGAACCGATTATAATGTGAACGTCCTTTCTATTGTCTAGTTTATAGTTAAGTTTATAGACTAGGTTTTGGGTAGTATATGGTATATATAGTATTTTTTCTGATTAAAAATTTTAGTAAACTTATATACGCCTTTTTGTTAACATTTATGAACTTATTAAATCATTACTTATTAGGTAAATAAAAACTAATCTAACCATTTAGAAAAGTTTAGTTAAAAGAAAAATTAGTTCACAACTAAATCTACAAAAGTTAAAAATACACATTTAATTCAAGACTTTAATAAAATATTTCATTAAGTAAAAAATTTTTGTTTTTTTTTTAATAAAAATTAAAAAATATTTAATTAAAAACCAAAGAAAAAAATATTAGTGCTTGGGGCTTAATAAATAATATAAATAAAAGTAAAGAAACTAAATTATATTTTGGAAATATAAAAAATAATAAATTATAAAAAACATTGAACGCCAACAAAGTTTAACTATGTTAAATATTAGTAGTAATAGTAGTTATTAAGTAGTGGTAGTAAAAATAGTATTAATAGAAGTATTTAGTTGATGTTAATAGAGAGAAAAACATTAATATATAAATGTTATTTGTTTGTTTTATAATTCATCTAAAATGTTTATATAAAGAAATTCAGCTAAATATTTATACAAATGTACGTTACGATAACAATGAGTAAAAAAAACACGTACAATTTGCTTATTTAAAATTGGTAGTTTGTAAAATTTGTAGCTTGTAAAAGCAAATTACCTGAATGCGTTTGATCATCATCACTGCCGGTATAACGGCGACTGTGAATACTTTTATCACGACTGGAAAGGAATAAAAAAGTGGTTTTCAATTTAAGTATTTTTGGAATTTCTAATTAATAAGAGTAGTTTTGTTTATATTACCTGAAACCTGGTTGATTGGCATAAACTAATTTATTGGAACCATCTGGTGAAACCTCTTCCACAGAATGATGATTTGCGGCATTGACTGCAGCCCCATAAGCCTTCGCCATTGGCTTTTTTGTATAGGGTGGATCGTATTTGAGGGTGGTGGTCTTGCGCCTGGTTTTATCAATGATTCGTCCAGTATTCATATGATTATTAGGTTTTTGAATTATTATTTATTAACGGGTTTATTGTTTGGTTTAATTAAAGTAATTTGTTTTTGAGGTTTTTTGTTTGTTTTAAATAGTTTGTTTGATTGTGATTTGTTATCGATTTTTAATGATTATGATTTTGGTAAATATATATATATAATTTTTTGGTTTGGTTTTTGCGCAATTTTTTTTGTCGTTAAGGTGGTTTAGTTTAAGTTTATTTTTTTTTAATTTTGATTTATTTTTATTGATTTTGGTCAATGATGACAATTGTTTTATTTATTATTTATTTATTTTATTTGTAGTTGTTGATAATTTGAATTTATTTGTTTTTTCATATGCGACCATGATGTTGAAGATGTTTTGGACAAATTTTGTTTTTTTTTTTAGTAAATTTTAGAGATTTTTTTTAATCGATTGTGTGGTATGGAGGAATAAACAAATTTGGAATAATAACAATAAAAAATATGTGATTGATTATTAGAAGTTGTTTTTGTTGGTTTTTTTCTTTTTATTACAAAAGAAAAAACTGATAATAGTTTTGCAATATAGTATTATTAATATAAAATAAATAACGAAAAATTTGTAATTTAAATAAAAATTTTATATTTAAGAATTAATGATGATAACTATACAGTTATATGAAATAAATAAAAAATGTATATATATTTTTTTGGGAGTTTTGGTTAGTTTTTACTTTTAACTGTAATTAGTTTTGTAATATTTTTTAGCTTATGTTAATTCCTTGGGTATAAGTGGTGCTAGATATTCTAACCATTGAAACATATTTAAAATATGAGGCGGCTCTTACAGCCGAACGGCTCTTTACTTTAGGCGAACTGGCCAAAAGCGGTTATAGGACACGTCATCAATGTATACTGGACACATTGGAAGGTTATACACAATCATCGGACGTGCCTGATCGTATACCAGACACAGAATATGTCGGAAAATTTGAAACGCTGATCCCAGATAGAATGTCTTGGTCAAGCGGAACATTAGACAAAAATATATTTACCGATTGCCAGAAGGCAATTAGGGCGATATTAGGCGATATAACTAAATCTAAGACCGTATTGGATTGTAAAAAAGCTTTAACTGAATACTCTCCCAGAGGTAAGGTTCACATCATATGTGTACCAGCCCACTCGGTAGTAGTCGGTAACGAAAGGGCGAATGTAATAGCTTTAAAGGGTAGGGAGCTCGAGGCAGTTAACCTGATAACCGCGAAACCATTCGACGCAACAAAAACTGAACTAAAAATATGGGTGAGAGAATCCCAAAAGGCCTCTTGGAATAATGAAACAGTGGGTAGAACCACGAAATCTCCTTAAAATGAGCAAGTCTGAAGTTAGTAAGATGGTACGTATTCTGAGTGGACACACAGGATTACGAGCATATCAATATAAAATTGGCCGTGCGGATTCAGACGAATGTAGAGCATGTGGAGAGGACAGTGAAACTCTGGAGCACTTTCTTTGCCACTGCCAGGCATTCGTCGAAGTTAGATCCAAATATCTTGGAAGTGATGTTATTCCGGAAATAACATTCCTGACTAACACTGATTGGAAGATTCTTAGGAATCGAGTGGAAATAATGGACCGATCTTAAACATTTTTCAATAGGCTTAGTCTCTAGGAGAATAGAAGATCATGCTCCAAATTTCATAGAATTATCTTTAAAATTGTAGTTTGTTTACAAAGTTTAGATGGATGGACAGACGGATAGACAGAAAGACAGATAGACATACAGACAGACAGACAGACAGACAGACAGACAGACAAACAGACAGACAGACAGACAGACAGACAGACAGACAGACAGACAGACAGACAGACAGGCAGACAGGCAGACAGACGGACATATCTTGCTCTTCTTAAATTTGAAAAATCAGTCTAAACATGAAAACAGAAAAATTGAATCAAATCTGAAATGTACATATTTTATGAATTATGCTTTAATTACAGTTAAACTTTAAGCTTCAAACTAAACCAAACTCCTACAAAAAAATTAAAAAAAAAACATAAAAAATTTTTTGGTTTATTTCTTTGTTATTCTTTCATGGGTTTCAAATACAAATATTATAATTATAATTTATGTGTTGGAAAATGTATAAAATATATGTATGTATGTATGAATTCTTTTTTTTATTCCTTTTCAGTGGATTTGTTTATTGTTAATGTATTTATGTATGTATTTATAAATTTTGTTTTGTTAGTATTCGTGTTAGTTAGAAGTATTATGATTAGTTTATTGTTTAATAATTTACATACATACAGTTATATTTATAAAAAATATTAGTATAAATTATTATTATTTATTTTTAATATTTTGTTAGTATATGTTATTTTCAATATTTTTTTATTATTATTATTAGTAGATTTTATAGCAAATTAAAAGAAATATATGCACATACAATAATACACAAACAAAACACACAAATGCAATATAGATTTAAATGTTTTTGTATGTGTATTTGGTATGATTTGTTAGTAAACTTTCATCTTTTTTTTTTCTTCTTTTATCTTTTATACAACATGAATTTATGAAATTCATTTGTTTTAGTACTTTTCTTTTTTCTTTAAATATATTTAATCTCAGTAGAAAGCACCACCATAACTCAAAAAAGACAGTGTATATGACAGAGATAGAGAAATGTGTGAAATAAATGTAAAATGATATTTCTCTGCAGAGCTCAGCAGCGGAGTTATTATGATGATTTTCTTTAATAAAATTATACAAATTTTCTGCTGAGTTGCAGTTGGATGTAAATATCTACACGCAATGCAACAATGATGTTGTTATGAAACAGAAAAAATATATCTTATAGATGTATAGAGAAATGTGGTGTACGTACCCTAGAGATGCCATGATTATTGTCCTTCACAAGGGGAACAATAATCAAAGTATCTCTTTTTTAAATTTTTTTGTTGATAAAGAAATGTAAATATTTTTTTTTTTAAATTAATGTTAATGGTTGATGTTTAATGTTTTATAATGTTTAGCTAACTACAATTAATCGAATAAAAATGTTAAAACGTATTTAAATAAAGCATTTTTAAACATTTTCATACAAATAATATTATTTTTTTTTTTTTGGGAAAATGTTTTTTTTTGTTATTATTTTAGCAACTAAATATATACTACTAATTAAAATTACGTACTCCCCGCGCCTTCTTCTAGGGTATGATTTTGTTGTTTTTTTAATAAAAACTTTAATTTTATAAATTTTTTTTTTTAATTAAAGGTAAATTTATTTTTAACTTACCTTTTATTGTAGGGTTTAAAAAAGAAAATTAAAAGTTTTTGTTCCCTATAAGACTTTCAATTAGTTTATAAACTTTTTTGTTTATTTTTATTTAATTAAATTTTTTAAAAGTTAAAAAACATTGTTGTAAATGTTATTCAGAAAAATATATGTGTTTTATAAAGTTAGTAAGTCATGATCAAGTTTTAAAGGTTAAATTTTTTATTGAATTATTTATGAATTTTACATGATGACTGTATGTGTAAGTTCAGGTACTTCTATATGATTGTAGCCCAGCAGGGTTTATAAAAAGGCCTGTTGAAAGGCCTTCTTGATATGTTTGATGAAAATTCCTATTAGTGGTTAAATTCGAATACTTATTTGAACATTTCTAGTAGTTTTTTTGAAGAATTTTCAGAGTTCTTTACATATTCTGTTGATGTTAAGAATTAGCTGTGTGAATGAGAGGAGGGTCTTTCGTACTAAATGGAAATCCGTTACAAAATATAAGAAGCAAACGTTTTTTGCCGAATTTTATTTACCCTTTACATTTTTCATTTTTTAAAATTATTTTTTTACTTTTTAATTTCCCCGCACAATTTTCCATCCCTGATGTTCGCAATAACAAAACAATAACAACATACAGCTTCATATATTGTTCTTGTTCTTTCTCTGTAAGAAGAAGAACTGAGGTCTTTTGAATATTAATTTCAACAAACATACAGACAGAGTTTCGGACATTGTCTTGTCCCGGTTATTGGGGAGGTCCCTTTGGGGTATACGTAGTGACTGTGGTTTAAACCTTAACTGGTGGGAAGAGAATGTTTTTAAGCACTGATACACGGTGAAATCTATATTTCGGGATAAGTTAAAAGTAGTAACTGTTGGGCTAAGCGTTAGCAATGAGTTGGTGTCAAGTGTATATGATACGTTATGGAGGTAGGGGTATGTGGGCCTCAACCAACTGTATACATAGACTTAATATGTCGTATAAATGAGAAGTGTACTGGGTTGATTGGTGATTGATATAAGATATGTTATACAAGTGATACCATTGATTCAACTTATGTTCAGGGTTTACTCTGTTCATATCAGATTTATCACAGCATTTTGCGTTTTGTCAAGATATGTTCAGGGTTGACGACGTGTCATAATGTGTCATAGTGTCTATGGACGTTATGACAATTCATAAAAGTGTCATGTCCATGGACATTGTGACACTTTAAAAACAGAAATGTTTTGGAAAATTTGTTAAGAATTTAGGAAAGGGACACTCTTATCCCGAAAAGAATTGCTCTAAAATTTGACGTACGTTGATGTTGCCTTCGGCCGGACGCAGGGGTTTTCAACTCTGGGATATTTCGAAAAAAGGCTTCGCTAAATAAGGCTTTTTTTGATAAATGGACTCATTGAAATTCATGGACTTTATGTCATTTTGCTCGTAGACATTGTGACACTTTTGAAATTGTCATAACATCCACTATGACTCAATTTAGTGTGTCATAACGTCCATGGGCATTATGTCACTGGACATTATGACACGCCACCTTCAGGGTTTACTCTATTCGTACCAAATTTAGCACAACGTGTGCTCTGTGAGTAAGAACTTCCGTTTGACTTAGTCGATGGATTCGTATGCGTTTACGGATTGCGTCTCTAAGCATTGTTGTTGTATCAACGCATACCATCTGCGTGGTTATAAATGGAAGTACTGATTT